GTTGAATTAACTGCCTGCAGTGCGGAATTTTGGTTCTACATTAATCTTGCAAATATATCGTTGAATTTAAAATTCAAGACACGGACATAAATGTATAAGAATATCAAAACAATCGGCACTTTTTAAAATTATCCTCCACCAGTCGCGAATCGTTATCGCTGAAAAAAGGACTGATAATTATTACTACATGTATTTAGTTATAGAATTTAAATAAAAATTTGATAACTAATACTAAATATGATAATAATAACCAAATATATAGTAGATTTCATGTACAAAGGATTTTTAATCACAGTCAAGACGACTAAAGATTTTAGTAATATCTACCAAATATTTAACATCTGTTATCAAGTATTTAATGACTATTATCGAATATTTGATAAATGTTATAAAATCATTGGATTTTATTTGACGAAATATTTTAACTATTAATATTTATCTTGTTAACTCTTTCAGGATGGGGGGTTGCTCGGGGAGATAGTTATAGGGAAGTACGTATTCTATGCGTTTTTGGGGTCAAATCTGAACTTAGATTTTTAAAATTCTGTGATCCAAGATGGGGGACCCAATATGGCGGGAAATATTATAAATAATATAAATATCACTCAATTTCCGTAAAATGAAACTATGAAAAATTGAAACTATGAAACTAAAATTTGAACTATGAAACTTTTTAAAAATACTTTTTTTGAGAACTAAAATCGAATATTTGAAATTCAAAATGCCGACCAAGGAAAAAAATTTTTAGATCTGACCCGACCAGATCACATCTGCTCATTTGTGCTCACTCTTGCGAAAATGGTTCGTGTATTGAAATTAGTCAAGATTTCACTAATTCAAATTTAGAGAGTATGAAGTTTCATGGAAATTGAGTATATATTTACATAATTTGACATCTTGAAAATCGCCATATTTGATCCATTTTGAATTTTATATTTTTTACTTCAAATTTAGAAAGAGCATTCTAAAAAACCTCTACATATCAATTTTTGTGAATCTTGGATTGACAGTTTCTGAAATACATGCATGAAGGCCGTAGAGCATCAAAAGATGTCTCCCGCACTGAGAGAAAAGACTGGTAACTATAACAAACTGCATTTAGTTACAGAAATTCATTGAATCCTTAGTAACTAATACTAAATATGATAATAATTACCAAATATTTAATAGATCGGGAGTATGACGTAATTGCATTCACAGTAACATCAATTAAATAATTTAGTAATAGTTACTTAATGTTAAATATTTAATATGAAATATATTACAGTTATGAACAGATATTTGATAATTGTTATGAAATCGTTATATCCCATATAATAAAAAATTCAGTAGGTACGAGTTCTATTTTGTTACCAGTATAAGTATGTTTTGTTGCAGCACAACGAAAAATTCATTCATTTGCAGCTATTACATCGTTTCAATATCTATTATTACAGATAGTTGGTTGAACCTATCAAAAATTTTGTAACTATTACAAAATCGCTTATTTTGCTCAACTATTCAATAAGTTTTATTTACCAAATATATTCTGGAAGCAAATAAATTTTACTTCTGTCAAATAAATAATTTATTTTACAGAACTAAATTAATTAATAAGTATTGCCATAGCTTTGGCCCGCTATATTTACGTCTATCATTTAGTAATAGTAACCAAATTTTGATAATATTTACTAAATTCTTCTCTCAGTGCGTCCTGAAAGAGTTAATAAGGCAACGAAATATTCGATGACTATCAACTGTACTTATATTAATATATATCACCTAATGATAGTCGCATATCGACTATTGTTGAGTTGTTTGAGGAAAAAAGTGGTTGATTTAATGAGACTTTGTTTGAACAAACAATTCGTTCAAAAATGTTTAGTCGACTGAACGAATTATATAGATATTATGATGAGAGTTATCAATAGATTCAATGATTCAATGATTGCGATTAGTCAGTGACTATCTCAACGCGATTTATTATTGCGCTAACACGTCATTTATTCAATAAATATTTCTTTGAAAGCGGATGATCACCAATTTCGTCGATGCAACTGCTTTTTTTTAGTGTAGTAAATAATATCGTCAATTAACATTGTTAATTAACGCTACGTTTCCAATCGAATCGTGCACGGAAAAAAAGATATGATAACCAGAAATATTAAGTTGTGAGCAACGTAGTTACATCACCCTAGTTATCTTTGTGTGATTGTAATGTGTATGGTTGATGTGACTCGTTGTCAGTTACTTTAGTACATCAGTTGCATCGATGTAGTCGCGCGTGATCTACTTGTGGTAAGTAGAAATCGGTTAGGCTGACATTTACCATGAGGTACACTCTGGTTGGAACAATTAGATATCGCCTGTAACTCAGCAATTGCTCTGTGATTACAGCAACCACATAATTAGTTGTTCCGTATTTTACTGTTGAATCTGGTTAACATAACCAGATTTATATGTGGGCCAATCGTACTGTTTCTTACATGTACTTTTGTATGGCATTTTCTCAACTCTTTTAAATTTGATCGGAAATTTTCTAACGTCGACAAAAAAAGATTATGAAAAAAAGAAGTCTGTTTGTTTGTTTAGTTTTTATGGAATTATATAATACTAGCTTATCGTAATATCTGCGCAGTTAATTATATAAATAATATATATAGCTTATATTGAAATTATATAAATAATATATATAGCTTATATTGAAAATAAAAATTATAAAATATTAAATGCGGGTGGAATATTCTAAGATAATTAGATATTAAATAATATTTAAATAAATTTTTTCTTAGGCTTCAATGTGAAAACTTAACACACATGTGAATTTAAAATGATATAATATTAAATTTTTAACTGGGTTCTTTCTTTAACAAAATCACATTACTTAATCATTTGTAGAATCAAAAACCAACAATCAGTATAGTATTATATCTCGAGATTCTTGATTGTTTCTTGAAAGGGTTTGTAAGATTAATGCAGAACTAAAATTTCGACTTGGGTCCATAGCTATAGCAGAATTCCCATAGGGGATATTCTCGAGCAGAGAAATTCGCAATGGAAAGTAAACTAAAAGTTCACATGAGATATCGAAACACAGTCGAACACTTTTATTTTCGATATGCGAATGATAGAATATAAATGTTCAGTTATATATTCGGAATACGATGGACAAAATTTGAATTCTCGGTGTCTCCATCTTCCTCGCGAATTTTTAGTCAGACAAAATCTGCATGTTCTTTTTGTGTGCAAATATATAATTTTTTATACATATAATATATATATATATATATATATAAAATATGTATAATATATATTTATCAGTCTCTCTCTCTCTCTCTCTCTCTCTCTCTCTCTCTCTCTCTCTCTCTCTCTCTTTCTTTCTTTTCTAATTATATTTCACGGCTGCGTCAACTTGCACGCGTTGGCGATAATCGACACAGATTATCGAATTCCTCAGCGCGTAATGTGTCGAGATAATCTTAGAGGTTCTGAGTTATAATTTCCATATTCGTCGCAGCGCGAGGTCTATTCCTCTTATGATAAGACGAAACGCATTTCTCTATTTCTCTCTCTTTCTCTCCTTCTCTCTCTCTTTCACGTACCTTGCGCGTTGCTTGCCGAGAGCACGTCTCGCTGTGACATTTGCAAATGATGTTAGATCGTATTAGCGTGCCATCTTCCATTTACGTGCCACTTTGCGAGAGAGACAGACTGTGTGTGTGTGTGTGTGTGTGTGTGTGTGTGTGTGTGTGTGTGTGTGTGTGTGTGTATGAGAAAGGGAGGGAGAGAAATACCGAGTCCTGTTCCTGCTCCTTGTGTGCTTCGCGCAGCCAAGCGGAGTCGAGTCGAGTCGTGTCGAGCCGAGTAGAGAGTCGCTCCTAAACTAGTTCTAAGTTAATCGGTGACGGCGTTACCATTATGGTGTAGGATTGCGAGGACGCGAGAGGACCTCCTGGAAAGATGGTCTAGCGGACGGGCCGCGGGAAAAGGGATGATTTGCATTTTAATTGCACCGACAATCTTCCTTGCCGCCCTCGTCGCTAACACACCAGTATGCGATCCAACTGGCTTTTCCCAGAATCGCGTGCGCCACGAAATTGTTCGTGGCGCGGCGCGCTTTTTATATTCGAGATTAATTAATATTTGGGACGGTCTATCCCGCAGAATAAATGGCCGTGTGATTCAATAACGCGTCAGCCTCAAAAGATTCAACGTTACGCACATAATTAAAGATCCGCTCGGACAAATATGTCCGTCGTGCCAGAGACACGAGAATGGAATTAAAACGATTGCGAGAGAGAAACGAGTGCGAAATTCACATTCCGCGCGGTGATTACTTTAAACGCGAAAGGCTGACTGCCTAATTTTCGATTATATCCTAAAAGGGACAATTATGGTCGCGAGTCAATCCGCGAGACAACCGTGATGTGTCGTAATTAAGATCATATTTTTTGCCTGGAGGTAATGTACAATATACAATTTTAATTATATGTTTTTCCATTATGTCCTCCGTTCCTCCACTCGTACTCCACTCCTTTTATCTTTACGTAGTTCAACGACGGGGATAGCATAACGGGAAAGTTTTCGAGAAGAGGTAATCGCGAACTTTGCCGCTGAGTTTCACTTGTATTCCTTAGCTCATTAATAAATTTCACGGAAGCGGATAATCAATGTGTCTCAGGGTTATAGAGACGGCTGGCCATATCGTTCGCGATAACAATTGACGAATAACTTTAATTAATACAAACCCTTTTATCAAATAGCTGGACTGTATTAACGAGTATAAATTAGTTATCAAAAGAACATACAAGAATACTAGTATAAGAATATACTACAGCACGCGATTACTTTATGTACATCTGCTGTCTCTCGTCGTCGTTACTTTAAACACTAATCTGCCTACGTAAATGCGTGGAATACTCATTGCCAATCTCGCCGTAGTAATTCACCATTTCCCTGTTACGAACTAAAACATCGAAAGTGCCATAAATTACACGACATTAATGAACGACAAATACTTGTTACTTCGTATACAACATTTCTTTCCTTGAATCCTGTGTTTTGTGTGCGCACAGCATAACTACAAAATAATAATACACTTTCTTACGCCACATAATTATAAAATAATATACGTGTAACATTAATTAATAAGCTATGAGTGAACGATACATTTGTGTAAAGACCATTCCACAATTGCATGGTCGTGAACGTAAGAGTCAATTAATCAATTTTTTATTCACTGATTGCTTTATTTTGATTGATTGTCTTTACTTACAACTACTTACGACCACGTAGAATGATCTTAACAACGATTTTCTAACACTAATTTCTAATTATACGCTTTTTTCCTCACTCGTCGTAAACCTGAACGTTCGTATCCGTACTCCAAAGAACAATAAATAATAGACTGCTGAAGATACATATATATGTACATATACGTCTCGTATACAGAGATGTCTGATATAATTACCTATTTGACGTAGCTATCTGAAACTCTCTCTCGAAACTTAAGCATGGATCGTTGCACGCCGTCAGAGGGAAGCCACATAATTCGAGCAGAGCCGCGTACTATTGTCCACGACGCGCGCGTTTAGGACATGCTCGCGCGGACTCCGGCAAATTTGCCTTAAGAGCGGACGCAGGCTCGCCTTCGTAGTCTCTTGGCAGAACCAGTTTAGATACAACTGTCACCCCGGCCGACAGTCAGGCCCGCGCTAGGACGTCGCAACAGTACCGCTGTCTGTGCTTATTTTACGATCTCCACTACCAGCTACAGTGGCGGTTCTCTTGCAACGGCTGCGGAGGGGTTAAGGGTTCTTCCTTCTTGAATTCACTCCGGGGCCCATCAGCATTTCCCTTTGGTATTTGTCCTTCGAATTATTCAGTCGGTCTGGCCTCTCTCACGGCCGAGAATCAGAAAGCAAGAATCTCTCGCTGTTGACACAAATCGTAGTTGCCTTAAATAAATAAGGACGACCGTATCACAGCCGATGGCTGGCTATTTTACCGTTTGGCGAGATGCATACGATCAAATATGCACACGTCGAATCGCATCTAGGTGGGATCAATGGCGTAATTAGGTGCCTCGGTATGCACCCGACAGAGGCTGATCGCCTCTCGAGGGAGCGAATCGCCGGACGGGAGGTGCGCGCTCCTGATCTTGGAGTATTCGGTTGCGGCGGGTATTCAATTTCCTAGGCTGACGATGCATGATAACAAGCAATAACACGCGCGACTCGTTGCTACTAATACTTGTGGTAATACCACGCATAGAAAATACTTTAGGATCTAATTGGGATCCAAACCGATTTCCCACAATAATCATAGGTTCTAATCTATGCAGGTTAGAAGTGTAATGTTTTGAACATGATAGTCTAAATAGAAGACTCATCCCATTTGGTCATCTTCAACGTTTTCCAAAGATTTGTTTTGGTTTACATTTTAAACTAAAATTGAGCAAAATATATGAAACACTTTGAGTATATACTCGTTATAAGTATACGTATATACATACTTGTAAAGAGTACAAATATTCAAAGTGTTTGCGAAAAAAAGCATTATGAAGAAATTGTAATAGAAAGCGTTCAACCTAAGAAAGCCAAAAATATACATAAATATCCGATAAATTCTCCTGACTTACAAATGTATAAAATCGTCATGTTATATCCTCAGATATACAAATGTATCCTATATTACATATAAAACGAAAATGTATTTTAACATGGTAATTATTTTAACATGGAACAATGTAAGTCAGAGAAAACATTTGTATAGTCTTTATTGTATTAATGAAACTGATGCAGAAAACTCGAGTTTTCTTAATATTTCTGCTTAAAAAACTCGAGTTTCCTTAATATTTCTGTTCTGTTCTTTAATAGTTCTGTTGAGAGAAATTATCCGTTTATTAATTTTTTTATCGGATAATTTCTCTCAGTGTTCCAATTCTAGACAGGAAACCCATGTTTGGGGTAAGAATGAGATTTCCAATTGGTATCGTAGTCAAATAATTTGTTTTGGAACAGTTAGGTATTCTGATTTGAATCTAACCTGCATTTGAGAAAATAGAAATTTCTATGCGGAACCTATCGAACATTATTGTCTCTCGTGCAGTCCCTCTTTTCGTATCTACAGAAGTAAGACTAGTTTCACAGGTGTTGATACGGTTGATCACAAAAATAACTGACTTCATCCTAAATGGCGACTAGTGCGTTAATCCCTATTCAAGCGATATTTTCTCAATTTGCCATTCTTATACTCTGAATATTTCTCTTTGGCATCAGAATCACTCAACGCTTCATCCTTCCTTAACTTGTCCATGCCTACTAGTCACGTCCCTGAACGGAACTGAATACACAACTATGATTAAATGCAACCATTCCCCCAACACGCGCACCACGGCACATTACCGCTACTGGTACTCGTCTTGCGAGCTTTCACACTGGCGGTTTCCCGACTGCTGACCGAGTTCGTCCTCTCGCGTTCCGTACTCAATGCACCGCCGTCCGCGTATTTGTCCTTGGACGCGTCCACACTGCCGCTCCGCGAGGTCTTCAGGGACGTCTGCGACGATCGTCTCTTGGAATTGATGTAGACAGACACCCGCTTGTCCTTGCGCGGCGAGTCCTGGCCCGACGACGACGACCGGCTCTCGTTCTTGTCTTCCTGCGCGTCCGACGTTGTAGTCGTGCTCAGCTTCCTCATCCTTTTCCGTGCCGTTTTCCCCGGCGAATCGGGGGTGTCCGTCGACGTGACGCTGCTCTGCTTCCTCAGCCTTCGTTGCGCCGCCGGCGACAGCGGTCGTTGATCCGCAGCCTTGTCCCTCTTCACGACTCTCTTCCGTCTCTGTCCACTGGGCGAATTCGGCGCGCTCGTCGTCTCCTCATCCGGATGCTCGTCCTCGTGATGCGAGTCGCCGTCGATTGACGTCTGTGTCTGCGCCGGTACCTTGCTCGCGACATTGTCGTAGTACACCATCCCGCCTGCTCTCTGCGGATAAAACTGACCGCGCGACGCCACGAACGGCACGCTCTGATACGGACTCTGACTCTGCAGATATCGGCTCGCGTTTAGTCGTCGCAACGTCGACAGATCGTACGACGTGGCGGAAGGTATCAAGGTGCAGGGACTCGGCCTCTCGAAGGAGGTCACTTGAATGTCTTGCTTGCCGCTCATCAGTTGATCGCTGGGGATCAACAGACGGTTCTTGTCGGGCAGGTGAAGCCTCTCGTCCAGATGCACAGCGCGTCCATAAGCGGGCACATTGTACTGATAAGCGACACCGTCGTCGTTCACTTGAACGGAGAGCGGTTTGGTCGCGGGAGGACTCGGCTCCGCACAATACTTGGGGCAGAGCTTGTCGAAGTTCCTCAGAAAGGGGTTCTTGAAGAGACGGTAATCTATCGACGGCAAGTTGGGTATCTCTGGAGTCTCGGGACTTGGCGCTTCCTCGTGCCGAGGAATCTTCAGTGTCACGTTCAGGTGACTCTTGTACGGTCGCTCGGAGGAGCCGTTCGTTATGTTGTCTAACGTGTTGTCGCTCTTGGTGAGCATCTGGGACTTGCCGTCGGCGTGACTTAGCTTCGACTGTTGCGCCGCGCTCTGACACTCGCTCGAGAGATCTTGGCAAGATACCGATTTCGTCAGCTGCCCGCTACTTGAAGCAACTCTGCAACTGTGCTCCGCGAGCAGCAGATTGTCAGTGCTCAGGAATGTCCTCGGCTCGTCCCTCGGGACGTCCTCGCCGTCGTAAGCCACCGCGCCGTTCACGTAGATGTCCGCCGAACCTTTCTGCCCTGCGAAGGGATTCGTACGGGAGATCACCGTGGAGGCTGTCTTGCCGCTGCTTGAACTAGTCCCGGTCCCGAAGTGATTGTTGCTGGCGGTTGGTGACTCCTCCTCTTGCTTCTTCACTTTGCTCGGCAACGGCGCGAAGAAGTGCCTCGGCCTCTCCGGCACGGTGGATACCGCTGTGATCTCTCCGGCGATTCGATTCTCAGCCGATGCGACACCCCCCGCGTGTATCATTGCGTCTTTCCCGTTGATAGAGTCCACGTTCCAGGCGTTCCTGCCGGCCGTTTCCTCGGGACTCGAAAGCCGCGTTCGCGAGTCCCCCAGAGGGATCCTCGTGGATTGCTTCGCGCTTTTTCGTCTCAAGAAGCCGCAAACGTCGGACGACATCGAAGTCGCTGGTGAAGTCATCTTCGAGTCCGGCACTCCCGTCGCTTGCATCTCGCCGGGAATGATGTTCGTGCCGGAATAAGCTGGCGGAGGTACCACATCGTTCTGCCAACCGACGGGCGGGACGTGGATTCGAGGTAGCATCAACTCGACCGCTTGATCCAGCGATCTGGAGTCTAAGCCGGCCAGCGGGATCAATGGATCGGTCTGTAATCCCGAGCAGGGCGAAGCCAGTAATGCGTCCGTAGGTAGCATTAAATCAACCGTATTTGGGAACTCGAACGGACACTCAGTGTAATAACTGGTTCCGCTGAAAGCGCCCGTCGGCTCGTACGTGGCTGGATAAAACGGGATGTTATCGTGAAGTTGCCGGGGGCCGAGGAACGGCGGTGGTAGATGCCAGGCACCGTCGCTCCTCTGCTCCTCCAGCGATGGGGTCGTCTCCTTCCTTTCCTTATCCTTCTTGAGCTCCTCCTCCTCGTCGACGACCGACAGATCGTCGAACTCCACGTGCAACCGATGCAGACTGCTGCTCATCTTCTCGAAGGAGATCTTCTGGTTCTCCGCGTTCTCTAGCTGCTCCTCCTGGTTAAAGCCCTTGGCCGTCTTCTCCTTATCCCCCTCGTACTCATGCTCAACGTCCTCGTCCTCTTCGCAAGAGAAGTCCGACTGCGGGCCCTCATCCTCCTCGGAGCGATCCTGCAATTTCCGACAGGTTTCGATCTGTTATTGATTGTAACGTTAAGTATAAGTTGTCTGTAACGTTCGCGTAATTGCGCTTCGATCGTGGGTTACCAGCGAATTCTCACGAAAGATACGAACGAGATTTCTCTGCTGGGTCATTGAAATTGGCACGGTTTAACGTTTTCATTTAACGAAGTCATGCGGAGTGTCCCTAATAGAAATTGTATCTCGGTGTCTATCCAGATAGACTAGCACGACATGAGACAATCGATGTGATGGATCTTTTACAATTATTTCAATGATATTTATGAGTCAAATATACTGTATTGAATTCATCATTAAATTTACATTATATTGTATAATATAAATTCTAATACAAATTCTGTGTTGTATCAATGCAGCAAGAAACTTGTTGGGAGTTATTTTCAGATTTTCATATTATATTTTATATGATTATGTTAAGCAAATTATTATTTTAAGCAAAGTTTGCTCTTTTGTTTTACATTTCTTTCGAATTTCTACTTCGTCATATTCATATAGTAAATATGCATGTCATATGAACCATAAGAAATGTAACCTTTGCAAATCGACTATGTGTCATTAATGTAGCCAGTAATGTAACGCTCATTTCTTCCAGTGATTGAGTAAATAAGTTAGCTGATGAATAAACAAACGAAGTTTTAGTTGAAATGAAAAGCCATAAGTAGTTGTTAGAATGTAACAGTAATGTTACGTTAAATTCTGTTTTTTAGATTTTTATGAAATTAACGTAATCTCAATTTTCATTTGTTACCTAATTTTAAAACACTAGTGATGATATAGTAGTTAGACTATGTATTCTCTAGAATAGACAACGCCACCTACTTTATCATATTTTATATGTAATGGCTAGATCACAAATTTGATTCTGTATTTCAATGAATTACCAACCAGTGATGAATTAATAAAGAGCTAGAAAATTTAATCTCTCTTTAGCTAGCTATTATAGTTTTTGATTCAGGCTAACTAATTAGCAAACTAGCTATATTTCTACTCGGAATTATGTAAATTTACAATTTAAAGACAAGAGGTTACACAGATCGAATGTCACGTAACTCATAGTATTCATAGTAACTCATAACACGGAAAAAATAGATGTGGTGCACCTAACAAAAAATATTTAGTTGTAAGCAAATAGCTGCATCATTCTACATATCTTTGTATGATAGTTATGTGTATGGTTGATTTGACTTACTTACTTTGGTATGTCAACTACATCAATGAAGTTGCGCGTGATCTGGTTGTGACAACCAGAAATTAGTAAGTGGATCATTTTGCATAGACAAGCTAAATATCGATATAGTTGCATTAATCAATGCTATATTGCAAAGCAGCGATGTTAGAAAACAAAAGCAATTCACTACGCGCACAGCTAGAGATGTATACATGTGAAAACTGGTTCTGAGTGTACACTGAGAGAAGAATTTAGTAAATATTATCAAAATTTGGTTACTATTACTAAATGGTAGACGTAAATATAGCGGGCCAAAGCCATGGCAATACTTGTTAATTAATTTAGTTCTGTAAAATAAATTATTTATTTGACAGAAGTAAAATTTATTTGCTTCCAGAATATATTTGGTAAATAAAACTTATTGAATAGTTGAGCAAAATAAGCGATTTTGTAGTAGTTACAAAATTTTTGGTAGGTTCAACCAACCATCTGTAATAATAGATATTGATGTAATATAAATGATGTAATAGCTACAAATGAATGAATTTTTCGTTGTGCTGCAACAAAACATACTTATACTGGTAACAAAATAGAACTCGTACCTACTGAATTTTTTATTACATGGGATATAACAATTTCATAACAATTATCAAATAACTGTTCATAACTGTAATATATTTCATATTAAATATTTAATATTAAGTAACTATTACTAAATTATTTAATTGATGTTACTGTGAATGCAATTACATCATACTCCCGATCTATTAAATATTTGGTAATTATTATCATATTTAGTATTAGTTACTAAGGATTCAACGAATTTCTGTAACTAAATGCAGTTTGTTATAGTTACCAGTCTTTTCTCTCAGTGTATAAATATACATTTGTAGTTGCTGCGTAATGAGCCGCGTTTGTATTAATCATGTATTATCACTGCTGCAACATAAGTAACTCAGCCATTGTTCTTTGGTTACAGCAACCACATAAATAGTTGTTCCGTATTTTACTATTGAATCTGGTTGGCACAACCAGATTTCTGTATGGATCAACCATATTGTTTTTTCGTGTACTAAAACTCATATCATCTTCACGATGAAATCTCTTGAAAAACACGTTTTTATAGCTCAAGCTTTTGCGAGCTTCGTGCTCGCAGGAGACGATAATCGGTGGGTCGCGTGAATTAAAGCTCGTTCGATGTACAACTCACCTCGTACTCTTCGCTTTCGCCGCGAATTTTCTGTCTCTTCAGGATCTCCTCAAGCTTGTCGTACTCGTCCCTGAGGCTCCATATCTCCCTGCGCAGCTGCTCGTTCTCCCTGCGCAGTTTCTTGATGTCGTTCTGACCTAAAAGCACGATGGACTAGAGAGTGGCGCGATGCTCTACGTCGCCCGACCGTTCTATTCCCCTATATCGACGTATAGGCCGACATCGCGGCGGATTCGTCTCGCGATTCTTCTCGCGGAAATCACTTAATCACCATCCGTTGTAGTGAGGATCAGCAACACACGGTTGCTCGCAACATACGCGCTGCACCTATCGTAACGATCGATCATTGGTCAACGCGGCAACAATCTCCGCTTGAGAAGCCGGTCGCCTCTAACCCTTCGCCCTTTCGTGCGTCAAGGAGCCGGTGATAAATCACCGTAGCCGGGCCTTCCAATTACTTAACTCTGCGGAGCGAGAGGGAAGGAAAAGAGAAAGAGAGATACGAATAAACTTCGCCGGCCGTCCGCGCGAATAACGCGCTAAATTCTTTCTGCGGAGGACGCGCCTATCCCGATACAAGCGTTTCATGCTCTTTCTTCCGATAGAAACGTCGATAGCGCGCTGTGCGTTAAGTGAACGTAGAAATAAGAAAGGGAGGTAGCAATTATACTTTGAGAAAAAAGACTGGGAGAGGGGGTAATTGTATTAAAAATATAAAACGAGGTTTCTTATGCGACTCTAGAATTGAATAAATCGGAAATTCTAACAAGGACTAACAAGAACTAATAAGGACTGTATTTAGTTAGAAAATTTAAATAAAAATTTTGTAACTAATACCAATAATAATAAATATACCAATAAATAATAATCAAATATATAGTAGATTTGATGTACGAAGACATCTGTTTAGTCAAATGAACTAAAGATTTTTGTAATAACTACCAAATATTTAATACCTGTTACCAAATATTTGATGACTGCTATATGATATTTGGTACGTGTTAGGAAACCATTCAATTCTGTTTGATGAAATGGTTGGTAACTATTAATATTTATCTTATTAAAACAATGAAATATATTTGGTGATCATCAACTGTACTTATATTTAGCTTTTAAAAATCAAGAAAACATTTTATTTAATTTTTTATATTTTTTTAGACAAACAGTTTATTCTATTTCTCCACATAATCACCTCCTTTAGTGCTTATATCGTTATGTTTTTAATGTTCCCTGCGTCTGACGAAGCGATTTATGTAGATTTATGTAGATCCGAGATTATTATGCTTTCCTGGAGAAAGAATGTGGCCAAGTTTAGCCTCATTTTTTGTAAGTTTGAAAATGGTCATAATTTTGGTTTTTTTTTTTAAAGCTTATTGCGAGTAGATTCCAAATATATAAATATCAAGGTGGTGCTCCACATCATTACAACGTTACAAACAAACAAACTCCTACAAAAAGCGGAACCATGCTTTCACTAGAGCGATAATCGAATCCATATCAATGAAGCCTTATTAAATATGTTCATGCTTATTCTATTATCAAGATCAAGCGCGATTCGAGATATTTTTTTTTTTCGAGCCAAAATTTTTTGTTTTTGTAAGGCATATGACGCCATGTTTCGGAAGTAAAACTATTTTGGGCCATTTTTCTTTGAAACAATATAGAGCGCCACCTTGATTCTTATATATTTCGAGTCTACTCGCAATAAGCTTTCAGAAAATATCAAAATTATGATCATTTTCAAACTTACAAAAAATGGGGCTAAATACTTATGGCAGTTTGGCCACACTCTTTGAAAGTTTTCCGAGTCTCCAGGATGAGAAGGAGAAAAAGAGCCATATAGTATCAAATTTCTGCTACATCTCATATCTGTTGTTTTCTTTGTTCTGTGCAGGTCAGTATACACGAGAGTTTGAAAATCACTCAGACCGGATGATGTATGCGGGCGCGAACGTCGGCGGTGGAAACGAAGTCGATTGGTTCTTCTTTTTGAGCGTTAGCGATCTTCAACCCACCTAGATGCGAGTTAAGTTAAGTATCTCATCAGTCATAGGTACGCCTCCTTCCACTTCGGTGATTAATGGGTTTATACTCGCAGCATGTTTTCCCCGTGCTTGAACTGCGACCCGATCGCGGAAGTTTTCAGATAACTCTGCGATCTGTACCGTTAAGAGCTTTTTATTACGGTATGTGTGCGCGCGCACGAGATGCACGTTCTGCTTTCCGAAAGCCCGGCCCGGTCTGCTGTTTTAAACATCAGTCGCTGGAAAAACACAATAGATCAAGAAAATGGATAAAATCAAAGGCGATTTCTATGCAATTCGCGGGAAGAATTACGGCGAGATTATACCGCGCCAGTGCATAATGTTTTCTCTTTAAATTTCTTCGAGTGGAATCTCACTCAGAACGAGTGAAAAGTGGCAGTATTTCCACTCGAAACGATAGTAAAAACACTGCTACTCAAAATCGCAAGAACGAACGTTTCACTCAGAATTAGAGTCAATTCTGACTCTGTATAAACGAATGTTCAGAGCAAACATGATCCTCCGACGATGAAGTATATACTGAAAAAAGGATTTGATAATATTCAGTTCGCCTGGATAATAGTTACTAAATATTTTGGTGAAATAGTTTCAACTTAACATATAAATATGTATATGTAATGAATATTATATAATATGTATACGTATAATGAATATAAATATGTAAGTGAATAATTTAGTAAGCATTAACAAATAGCCTTTAACAACGCTTGGTATCTGTTACCAAGGTTTTTATATACATACAGTTTTGGCACTGTACCAAGAGAATATCAATCAAGCTTACATAATGTTCAAAAACCCATGAAAAAACAATCGTTTTTCGCGCTTTGATGTATTTACATTTTTGGCTGGGACGACCCGTGTCAGGCATGTGTTTATAAACATATCATACAACTGATAGACGCACACTAATGCATGTTACTAGAAAAATAATTGTAACTTTTTTCATATCTTACACTATTTCTCACTTTTTTATATATCTTTAAAATTATTTAACCACCTCTTATTTTTGAGAAGATACTTAACCAAAAAGGGAGATACTACGATTTCCGGAGCGCCAAGTTTTGACTACAGATTCTGCATCTACAAGCGATTATAAACAAAGTTAAAGAGTGATAAAAGTGGCTTTATTTTACAAGATATAGAGGTTTTTAGTTGAAACTTTCAAAATTAACATAAATATGTTTTTATTAGTTTTAGACTATTTTCGACTTTTAATATGGGAGAAAGGACATCAGAGGGAGTGCAGAGAGTAAAGCCTCCTCGGTGGTGCAAAAGTAACATTTATAAAAAGAAAAAGAAAATTCTATAGCATTTTAAACACATATAATGCTTTCGAGAGGTATTCATAATACATCTTAGTTTACATAGACGCTATGCTAATCTTTTTAGTATCCATTTTTATATTATAGGCTCATCAATTTAGTAAAGTGAAGATTTAATAGATATATTTATGATACATTCTACCTTGCATAGAGGCCTCGCTAATCTTTTCAGTATCCATTTTTAGTATATTGTAGACTTATTAATTTAGTAAGGCGAAGATTTAGAATTATTATTTTTACCAAAATTTACATATATATATATACATTCATACACATATTCATACATATGACTGGAAGGGTTTGGAGTCTAAATACCGCAAGAGTGACGAATCATGGGGTTCTTATCCGTGTCATAACAAACGTACATACATACACGCATATTCACACATACACCTATACACTTACATACACTTATATTTGCACATAGGGAATGCGAAGCAGGCTATACCTCCACGTGGTGCATTCTGGATAACGCGAAAATAGTCTGCAAATGTCAAAAATGTTATGTCATTGATTTCTAAATTTGCATTTAAAAACCTCTATATTTCCTAAAATAAAGCAGATAGCCTCTTTCGTCACCTTTTCACTTTTCTTTATAATCATTTATAGATGCAAAATCTGCTGTCAAAACTTGGCGCTCCGGAAATCGTGGTCTTGCCCCAAAAAATACCAAAGGTTAATAGTTATTACCAAGTCTTTTTTGTTCAATGACTCAGAATGAAGAATTCACTCTATTTGAATGACAAATTACTCGAATTCGAGCGACTCGAAGTGGTCACTTTTCGAGTGAAGTTTCACTCGGAAAAATTTAGAGACTGCATTCGCAGAGGCGTTTGAAATACGTTCATCCCCAAGAGGGATTAGTCAAAAAAATCGGCCGCGTATAAACAGTCCGAAGTTTGTACGCGATTCGTTCGTAGTGTTAACAATCGCTCTGATTAGCACTTCGCGAAGTCCGATTATATTTTCCGGATTACCGCGCGCGCGTCGCGCGTAAAGAATCAACGATTTCGATCGCGAAAGCGCCCGTCGCTTTTTCCTAATCAGATTTTTGCACAGTACGAAATATTTCGCGCGGCTTATCGGTTTTTCGCGATGCGAAAACGGGCACGAGTAAATGTCACGTGTTACACGGACGCACACGCGCCCGCGATAACAGCTCGCTTAAGCCTAGCCGGTAAGTGCGTGAGCGCGAGTGCGCTCGTGTAACAAGAGAAAAGCCGTGTGGTAAATCAAGATTATAAAACCTGGCTTACCGGTCCGAAATTTAAATAAATTAAATCCTTCCGGAGGTTCATAAATTCGGATTTTCCCTGTGGACACCGCCTGCTATTTGGATGTTATTAAAACTTGGGCCATTTATCTTCCGCGCGAGCCCCGTTTGAAAGCGATATTTGCTCGAATACGCTACAATCGGCCATTGACTTTTTTTTCATTCGTCGATGATGGAATAAAGCCGTCCGATAAATTCATCCATATAAAAACCATCCGATGCAATTTGAACGTATTAACTCGGCGATTCGGCGTACCCGTTAATGTTTAGCCGACAGAAATTTCTTTATTGCACTAAATGAAATTGACGTGCGCGCGAATATCTCACGTGAACCGAAAAATAATCGCTTAATTCCCAATGCTAAATTAAAAAATGTTTTTTTTGTTAATTATGCAAATCCGACGCAACGTTTATGAAGTACTCCGGCGATTCTTTCGCTCTTGGTCGAATTTGTCGAGAAAAATTCACCTTGACAAAATAATTCTTCACAGCACTAA